CCTCCTCTCCTCCTCCTCCTCCTCCTCCTCCTCCTCCTCCTCCTCCTCCGCCTCCTCCTCCTCCTCCTCCTCCTCCTCCTCCTCCTCCTCCTCCTCCTCCTCCTCCTCCTCCTCCTCCTCCTCCTCCTCCTCCTCCCTCCTCCTCCTCCTCCTCCTCCTCCTCCTCCTCCTCCTCCTCCTCCTCCTCTCCCTCCTCCTCCTCCTCCTCCTCCTCCTCCTCCTCCTCCTCCTCCTCCTCCTCCTCCTCCTCCTCCTCCTCCTCCTCCTCCTCTCCTCCTCCTCCTCCTCCTCCTCCTCCTCCTCCGCCTCCTCCTCCTCCTCGGGCCACCAGCCCCGGCCGCAGCCGCCCGCGCAGCGCGCCGACCCCGCACGGAGGCGCTCGGCACGGAGGCGCTCGATCGCGGCTGCCGAAGGCCAGGCCGTGCCCGCGCGCCGCTGGCGCGGCGGGCCCCCTCGGGAAGGCCAGGATATAACTGCCAGGACTATTGACGAACGAACAACACACACCCATACCCATAGGGGGGTCGTTGGGAGGAGGACTGGCTATAGGGTATGGCTATGGGTATGGGTGTGTGCTGTTGGCTCGTCAACTATAGCCTCGTCGGACGTCCGGGACCCTCTGGGACCTTCGCCTCTCGGGAGCGGGGCGGAGGCTGGCAGCTCTGTGGCCGCTAAAACGCTCATTCCTGAAAAAAACAGCAACAAAAAACTGGAATGAAGCTCACCGCGTGATAACTAGTAAACGGCTGCCTCCCGGGAGAGAACAAACAATTACCCGGAGCTCCGTTTTATCGGCCACGGGTTTGCCAGCCTTCGCCTGGCTTCTGATCCTCCCCAAATGTTCGGGCGGTCCCAAATGCGGTCCGAACATATGGGGTCGGAGGATCACGCTGCATCAGCGATGCAACGGCGACGTCGGCGATGCATCGCTGATGCATTGCCGGTAAATCAGCGATGTAACGACGACGTCGGCGATGCATCGGCGCTGCCGGCGTGGAGAACATCGGGCTCCACATCAAGCCGAATCGCCGATGCATCGGCAATGCGGCGCGATCCTCCGACCCTACTCGCTTGACCACATCTCGGAGGCCTAGACCTGAGCAAGAAAAGCGCGGCGCCATCGGCCCCCCCTTGGCACCCATGCACCGCATCCTCTTCGGACTCCCTTCAGGCTCCGCTCCAACGCGGTACGGTGTGTAGCAGTTCGGCTCCACGAGGCCCAAAAAACGATCACCGCACCCAGCAGAACAACAAATAGACAGCACACACACACACACACAAAAACTTGGTGACGGTCCACAATGATTTCTTGGATCTGCGCTGAACCCTCGTCCCTTCAGCTTCCCGCAAAGCCCCGCGGCTGCTTTGTGAGTGGGCCGGCCGGCTAGCGGCGCGTCTCGTAGCTAGTTAGGCTTGCCCGTCGGCCCGGACACCCTGTTCGCCGCGTGCGCTCTTCGCTCGCGGCCGCGACCGAAAAAAGAACCCCCGCCCCTGGCGCGCGGAACGCGCCCAGGGACCGGGGGCTCCAGAAATCCGCGCGGAGCGTCGCAGGTTGAATTATTCGGGAGCGGCCAAGAGGGGGGTGTCCAAGAGGGGGGGGTGCAAATCTGAAAAATCATGGCCCGCGCCATGAAATCCACCCCCCCCTAGTCATCACCCCCCCTCTTTTCCGCCCCCGAATTGTGCGTATGCCGTGTTCTGGCTTCGAGGGTCGCGTTCTGGGGCCGAGGGTCGACGACGCTTCTCGGGCGACGCCGACGCGGAAACCGTGCACGTGAGAGTCGCCCGCGCGGACCTCCGCCTGCCCGAGACGGGAAGGGCCTCGTCGGAGGCCCGGGACCGCCTCCTCCCCGGAGATCCGGGAGACTCTGTTTCCCTGCGAATCGTGTGCAACCCCGATCTGCAGTGGCAGCGATGCTCGGCTCGAGTGTGACAAAAAAAACTGCGATCAAGAACTCAAGTGTGATCACACGTGAGTTCTTTCTCACACGTCGCCCCCAGAGAGGTCTCGACCCGTTCCCCGGGACCGGTTTGTCTAGGGACAAAGAGAAGCGACACCACCACCAGGCACCACCAGCGGGAGGAGCCAGCGAGGCTCCCCCTGGTGGCGTGGTGCCACCCCCTCGCTCGAGGCATCCCCCGAATATCCCCAGCCTGGGGAGGCATCGTGGACCTCCTGGCTGGAGGTAGCTCCCCTGGTGGTGGTGGCGTCGCTTCTCATTCCCCCGATGTTTCTTTCCCGAATAGTTTTTATGGCGGCGCCAGGGCCCAGCGAGGCACGCCCTAGGCCGAACGCGACCAGAAAGCCTCCGCAGGCAGACTCGCATCGTGCCAGATTCGGCGCTCGTTTTTGACACCGCGAAGATCGCTTGACCTTGAACGGTCGGCCGTTTCCGAAACTTCAGATCAGTCAGTATCGACCGATGCTGGGCCGCTGGCGGCGTCCAACGCTGAACGCCGGCGACGGGGTCGCCCCCGGTCGACACCATCCGAATGGTAGCAAGGAAACGCCAACAACTGTTCGAGGCGAAACCCGAAAACCAAAAGCGAAACCCGAACATCGAAAAGAAGCGAAACCCGGAAATCTCCCAACAGGCGAAAACCGAAACTCCGACCGAACCCAAACCCGAACACCGAGAGGGGCCAGGCCCAACACTGCAGTTCAGACCAGCCCCGCCTCGCCCCTCCCAATTTTTCCTTCCGCCCCCCTCCTTCCCCCTCCTGGTTCGTCCTCCACCTCTCCTCCTCTCTCGTCCCAGTCCTCCTCGTCCTCCTTCCGATCCTCCCACCTCCCCCTGCTCCCTCCTCATCCTCCACCTCCTCCCTCGTACTCCCACGCTTCCTGCCCTCCTCTCCCTCCTCCCTCCACCCTCCTCCTTCCTCCTCCGCTTGCCTCTAGCCTCCGCTCCCTTTTCCTCCCTCCTCCATCCTGCCTCCTCTCTCCTCCCTCCTCCCCCTGTCCTCTCTCCTGTGCTCATGGGCGAACAAATGTGCTACCCCACTCTCCTCGAAACGTGGCAACGCCTGCGGGACGGACAAAACTAATACTCCACCCGAATTGCCAAGTGAAAGCGACGGGGGAGCGAACACACAAACTACAACACCCCGCGACTAGCCACGTGGCAACGCCTGCGAGGCGGACACACGTCGTTTCTCACTCGACTCGTCACGTGGCAACACAGGGGGAGCGAAACACATACTGTCCCACTCTCCTTGCCACATGGCAACACTCCGAGAGGGGACACACAAACGACTCCACTGTACACACCACGTGGCAGCGTCCTGGGGCGAAACAAAATAACTCCACTCTACTCGGCACGTGGCAACGAAGCGGGGTGGCAGCAAAAGCTGCTCCACTCGACTGTCCACATGGCAACGCCACGTGGCAAGGCCTGAGGGGTAAAATAACATACTATCCCACTCCACTCGCCACGTGGCAACGACACAAGGAGCGAACAATACATACAAACTCACTCAACTCATCACGTGGCAATGCCGCGCGCAAGTGGCAACATCTGCGGGGGCAAAGACAAATTGTCAATTGTATTCGCATCGTGGCAACGCCGCAGGGCGGGAACACGGCCACTCCGTTCGCAACGGGCAAAGACAGGCTGGCGAACAAAATGCAATACAACTGTGCGCGCAACTTTGCGAGACCGCACAACGAAAATGCACTACGTTATTGCATTCGACGTGGTAACGCCGCGGAGGCGAATTCCAAAATCTACTCGGCCCGTGGCTCCAACGCGGAAGACGACAGACGAGGACGAGAACGAGGACGGGGACGAGAACGAAGACGAGGACAGCGACGACGACGACGACGACGACGACGACGACGACGACGACGACGACGACGGCGACGACGACGACGACGACGACGACGACGGCGGCGGCGGCGGCGGCGGCGGCGGCGGGCGACGATGCGGTCATCGCCGCGTCGGGGCCGTCGCAGGCCGGGCGCGGCGCCGCGGGCCCCGGCCCCGCCCCCCCCCCCGCGCCTGGGCGGACGCGAAGGCGCCGACGCCGAGGGCCGAGAAGACCTGCGTGCAGCCCGCCCACTGAGCAGGGACCGGCCGTCCACCACGCAAATGTTCTCCGAAGCCAAAAATGTTCGAAGAGTAAGTCGGGCGTGTCCCCCTACAGGGGGATTTTGGGCGAAAAATAAAGAGTACTCACAACATACTCCCCAAATGGGCAACAATAGTCAGAAGATCGTCCCCAGACTATGTGTTTGACTATTGTTGACTACTCCTCATGTGGAGGGACAAGCCCGACTGAAGTCTGAGAACAAAAAGAATGCTCTCACAACAGAAACCCGATGTATTAGAATAAGACAGACCCAGCCGGAAATGTTCTCAGAACATTTCGGGCAGACCACAAAAGGTTCTTAGCACATTCTTCGGTGGGCCTATAGGCAAGCCAGGACGCTCCGCCACTGCTTGAGCCCACCCGCCGCCCGCCCACGGGGGTCGCGCGGGGGGTTACGCAGTCAACCCGTACGGCAGGTTCGTTTGGCGCCGGCGCGCGCAAAAGTTTGTTGGCGGCGAGCGAGGGGGGGAAGGGAGAAGGAGAAGTCCTTCTTAGAAGGCGGCGGGACTTCTCAGAAACCCTCGCGCCTTCTGAGAGGCTTTTATGTCCCCGGGGACGGCGTAGAAAACTTCTCAGAAGACCGGGGGACTTCCGAGACTTCTGAGAAGGCCCGCCCCTTCTCACTTCCCCCCTCGCTAGCCGACGAGTTTGTGACACCGCGTCGATCGTTCAACCTTGAACCGATCGCGGCCCCGATCGTTCAAGGTTATACTCCGTCGGGTCCAGTGGCGTCGCCATGTCCCTCGGTGCTTCGGTGTCGCAGAATTCAACCTTGAACGCCTTCGCCAGTGTCGCCAGCGCGCCAACGCCGCATGAACCTACCGTAAGGAGGCACGAGAAGGATGCAAGGGCCCTGAAGGCCATGCTGGCGCTTTCGAGCGGGGCTGGCCAGCGAGAGTTGCCAGAGATGGGCCCAAGGGGCAAGGATGGAGGGGCACGGCAGGAGCTCGACCACAAGAAGCCGTCCACGAGAAACCCAACCCTGAGACCCCAGGACGTCCATGGATTTTCGGAGTGGGCACGTCACGTTCTCCATAGCAATACCGTCGACAACCCAAGAAACCCAGGACCCCCATAGAAGCAGGGTGTCTCTTGGCATGGATTTCCACTATAGCGGCATCTGTGCCCTGTGCCCTCTTGCCCCCTCCCCAGCAGGGGGAGGTTCGGAAGAGGAAGGAGGAGGGGTGTGCGGGAAGCGAGGAAGGAGGGAGGGGAGACGAGGACCCGGGGAGGGGCGTGTGAACCAGGAGCGAACCGGAGAAAAAGAACGCAGACCAGTGGGGTGGGGCGGAGGGGACACGGCGCAGGAGGCGCGAGGGGAGGGATGTGTGAATCTGCTCTGCTTAAATCAAGATCGCCACCTGGCAGAAGCCTGTGGGCCCCGCGGCCCCATGCACGCAAGCCTTTCGCGCGCCAGACCTGTGCTCTCTCGATGCAGGAGGCCCCCGCTTCCCGCCGCGGCTCTGGACCACACGGACTTGGGCTCTGCACCAACCCAATCAAAGGCCAGCGAAGTCGGGTTCCTGCAGCCGAATCCGGCGGGCGAGTCCCCATGCGGCGGGCGCTTCCTGCTGGCGTGGGCCTCCACTGCAGCGGGCTCCGCTGCAGCGGGCTCGCTGCCGGAAGGCGGCGCCTCCTCTCCCTGCGCGGGCTCGCGGCAGCGAGGCGCGCGCGCGGGCGGCCCCTTGCCGCCCCGCCGACGCCCCGCCGCTCCGCCTGCGCCTGCTGCGTTTTTTGTGCAAGGGGGGGGTGGCCGTGCACGGTCTCCCCCCGGGGCCGTAGGCGACCCCAGGAGGAGGAGGAGGAGGAGGAGGAGGAGGAGGAGGAGGAGGAGGAGGAGGAGGAGGAGGAGGAGGAGGGGAGGAAGGAGGAGGAGGAGGAGGAGGAGGAGGAGGAGGAGGACGACGGGTCGCCTAAGCCCTCCGGAGAAACCCTCCAGGGGGTCGAGGCTCGAGACTCTCGAGGGCTCGAGGGCTCGAGGGCTCGAGGCTCGAGCATTGTGGCTCGAGGACCGAGGACCGAGAAGCCGAGAAGCCGAGGACCGAGGATAGAGAATCGAGGATCGAGGATCGAGGATCCAGACTCTCGAGGCTCGAGGCTCGAGGCTCGAGGGCTCGAGAATTGAGGTTCGAGGATCGAGGCCCGAGAAGCCGAGGATCGAGGAGCGAGGATCGAGGAGCGGCGTCGCGAGCCATGGGCCTCGTCGATCGCGAGCCGAGAACCGAGGAGCGGGGAATCGAGGATCGGCGTCCCGAGCCATGGACCTCCTCGAGCGAGAACCAAGAACCGAGAAGCGAGAATCGAGGATCCGGGATCGGCGTCCCGAGCCATCGGCCTCTTCGATCGAGAACTGAGGGACCGGGTATCGAGAATCAAAGGTCCAAATGCGGGTCATGTTGCATCGTCGGGGGACCTTGCCTGTCCCCCCGCGCCGCTATCCGCGTCGAGACCGTGCCGAATCCGTGTCAGCCTTGCCGAGTCCGCGTGGAATCGACGTCGAAGTCGTATCGCATGGACCTCTGCGAACGCGCGTCAGGTCCCAAGAGACCCCAGGAATGCCCAGGAGGCCACATTCGGGGGGCTACCGGGAGCCACTGAGGGCTCCCGGGGGATCCCTGGAATCAACCTCATGGAGCCCATTGAAACTCAGGGAGCCCCATACGAGGCCCCGCCAGGACCCTCCAGGAAACTTCAGGGAAACCGCAGGGAGAAGAAGACCCAAAAACCCGGGAAGGGCTCAGGAAGCCTCAGGAAGCTCCAGGACGCTCCAAAAATTCCCAGGGAGTTCCACGGAATCCGAAGCCGCATGGAACCCCAGCGAACCAAAGGAGGCCTCAAGGAACCCCGTGGAACCCCAGGGGGCACCAGGAAGCCCCACAGAACACCAGGGAGCACCAGGAAGCCCCAGAGAACACTAGGAACACCTGGGAAGCCCAAACGAGCCCCAGGGACCCCAGTGAGCCTCGGGAAGCCCCAAGGATCCCCAGGTAGCTCAAGGCAACCTCACGAAGTCACAAAATGCTTCACGGAGCCCAGGGAACAGAAGCCTACGGAGGCACTAGAGGCACTACTAAGACGAAACAATGTTCCCAAGACGGGGACAAAAAAGCAAGGATGGGACCTCGTCGCCCGTGACCTGCTCACCCGAGACGGCGTGGTACGTAGGGCGGCTGGGCCCCTCAGCCTTCCCCATTACTACAAGCTCATCGGCCAAGCAACCACAGCCAACCCTGCCCAATCAAGTGGCATGTACACCCTGCGAAATGCTTAAGAAATCATGGGTGAAGAAATTCATGGTCTCAGAACTTGAATAAAAACCCAATATGTCCATTAAAATCTTAAGATTTACACTGGAACGTTAAGAATAGTCGAGACTCTGGCCGAAAACTTGAGTTTTCTTAAGCATCGCCTGAGGTGTGCAGCTGGGTTTGTTTTCCCCCAGGGTGAGTGGACACAAGGCCCATGGAATTTACAGACCTCACGGTCCCAACTCTCAACCAAATGCACCATCCCCGCGCCTGGACCCCACCTCCAGTGCAGCGGGCGCAGAAATGTCGTGCGGCAAGGAAAAACGCCAAGCGACTGGTGCTAAGCAATTGAGCCCGTTTCTGCTCTCCTTGCCTGCCGCGATGGGAAGCCCTGACAGTGCGCCCTCGAGGTGGGAAAAGCCGGATGCCAGGATACGGCACCCAGCCCCCCCACGCCAGAGAACCCTACGGAACCCTAGAAAAATCAAGGACCCCTATGGAACCGCATATTACCAATTGAAATCAGTGACCCCCAGGAAGCCCCTGGAGGTTCAGGAAGCCACGAGGGATACGACGCCGTTGCGCCGCCGCCACTGCCACCGCGTGGAACAGGAACCATGAAGGCCCCCGGTGATCCTTGAACACCCGAAGAATCCGTGTGCGGCCTGAAGGGTCCCGACGAAGCCTCACCGTCACGATATCTTCTCACGCAACCCACCCACCACACCGCGCTGCTGCGACACTGTCATTCGCACCGCTTGGAACTTTGACGAATCATCAGTGACCATGAGGACGCCGGATCGTTTTTCAGCAGCCGACGAAGCCTGACGCGACCTGAGGGGCCCCCAAAAAAATCCATCACTCTGTATTCCCACGCGCCCCCCCCACACACACACACACACACACACACACACACACACACACACACACACACACACACACACACACACACACACACACACACAAATCGCCCCGCGTGGTGGTCGCGTAGCGGGCAGCCAATAAGCGCGGCGCAGCTGCTACGCCGCCGTTGGAAGCGCGGAGCCATGAGGTAACCGGATATTTTCTTGAGCGCCCAGCGGATCGTGGCGCGGCCCAACGAATCGTGGCGGACCCAGGAAACCCTCCATCACGATGCATTCCACTGTGCACGTTTTCTTACGGCGTTTCGACAATGTGCGGAGGGGGGGGTGTCTGGCTCCAGACCTCTGCTTAATGCGACTGTTTGAGACAGTGCGTCCTGCGGGGAGACTCCACCTGCTTGAAACAGGCGCCATAGATCTGCTCCATGTGGAGGGGGCAGTGGGTCCGAGGGCACGCGCCGATCGGCAAAACAATGAACAAGGAAATGATCATCAAGCTGACTCCCCACTGCCCCGCGCGGCGGGCGCCTACCGATCTCGCGCATGCGACGCGGTTACGAAGCCTCCGCACGGACACCCGCGCGCACACGCGCGCGCCCAGTCGCGCAGCGATGCGCCACACGTTTCGCGGATCGCAAACCTCAGCGCAAAGAAAACCAGTTTCGGAGACCGCCGCCGACGCAACGCGCGAGTCCTCCCCTGCTTAAAGGGGGAGCTGCCAACTCGCGCAGAGCGGTTGCGTGGCACCGAGCGCCGACGCCCGCGCAGAAGCCGCGCGTCCCAGAGATGACGCCGGTGAGGCGCAAGCCACAAGGAACCCCATGTTGGAGGCCTAGAAATGGGCACCAACACCAACACAGGGGGGCTGCTTCCACATGGGGAAGACGATCCTAGATTTCGGAGTTGGTGGCAATATTTCGGCCACCTTGGAAGCCAGAATATTACCACCATCACCGAGATCGGGATCTTCTTCCCTCGGTAGATGCACACCGCCGATATTGGTGTTGGTGTCAATCTCTGGACCTGCGACCATGAACACTTGGAGACACAGTGGAAACCAGGAAGCCATGGGAAGTCTCGAGGCGCCCCAGGGAAAGCCAGGCCTCAGGGAACTCCAGGGCGCCCCGACGCCACAGGAGACGCGACGCCTTCACGACGCCGCAGGCGGCACCGCGTGCGCACTTCGGAAAATCATGGGGGGCCACGGGGGGACTGCATAATTCTGGAGCGCCCGACGAACTCTGACGCGGCTCGAAAGGGTCCGAGGCAAGCCCTCGTTCACGAATCCTCCCAATGCTGACCCCAACCACCACTGTCACCCCGCGCGGTGGTCGGGTAGCGACACTTCCACGCACGCGACACCCCCACAAGGATGTCCGCGAACGCGCGCGCACGTCCAGTCGCGCAGCGAGGCGCCATCCTGCTCGCGGATCGAGACTTCGGCACGAGCAGTTCGAGACCGCGCCGCAGAGGCGACGCCCGAGACTTCCTCCGGGCGCGCGAACGCTACCCAGACGCGCGGGGAAGCTGCTTGGCGCCGCTTCGCGGCGCCCGCGCGAGTACTGCATTCCGAGACCGCGGCAGATGCGACGAGCGAGTCTTCGTACACGCGCCCGGCAGCTGCCCAATGGCGCCGCGCGCCGACCCCCGGCGCGCGAAAATCGCGCGGCGAGGCCACCGCCGATGCGATGGGCGGGTCCTCTCCCGCGCGCTCGAACGCCGCCCAGTCGCGCGAGCGGCCTGCACGGCGGCGCCCAGCGCGAAAAACTGCGCTCCGAGCCTCTCGCCGCCGCGACGCGCGGGTCCTCGCCCGAGCGCGCGAGCGGCACCCCGTCGCGCGAAGCAGCTGCCTGGCGCCGCGCGCCAACCCCCCCGCGCGAGCCGCACGCCGAGGGAGCCGCCGCTCGGACGCGCGAGTCCTCCACCGCGCGTTCGGACGCTGCCCAGTCGTGCGGAGAGTCCAGCTGGCGCCGCACGCCGACACCCGCGCGAGAGTCGCGCTCCGAGACGTCCGCCGATGCGACTCCACTGCGCCACCGCGCACTGGCGCGACGCACGCGCACCACCTCATCCGCAGCGCAGCGCCAGCGTGATATGGACTACCTACCAGACCACCCCAACCCAACCCGAAGACCCGAATTTCGGGTTGGGGGGGTAAGGGTTCCATATGTGTTTTTCCGATGTTTCCCGACCCCCCCCCCTGGAAATCGAAGGTAAATCTGAGCCTTCGGGTTGGGTTGGGGTGGTTTGGTGGGTGGTGAGATATTGGAAGCGCAGCGCGAAACCTTGAGAATCACAAGACCCCCGCGCGCCATTCGCGCGCACCCAGTGGCACAGCGATGCGCCATCTTGTCTGCGGAGCGTGGCCCCCGTGCGAAAAAAACGCATCCCGAGACCGCCGCCGAGGCGGCGCGCGGGTCCTCCCCCGCATGCCCGAGCGCTGCCCGGTCGTGCGAGAAGTCTGCCTGGCGCCGCGCGCCGTCCGCAGCACGAAAGATCGCAGTGCGTTGCCAAGCGGCGCAACTGCGCCACAGCGCCGTGCGCGAGGCGCGCTTCACAGATGACCGAACAGCGCAGCGAAGCCACATATCTTCATCGCGGCGCGGGACCCCGACATCCACAGGGGCGCTCAGCGAGACTTCCGCGGGCGCGGCGCATGCCATCTACCCCCCGTTTTCAAGGGGACTGCGTGGGAGTAGAGCCAGGTGTGGGGGGGGGCTAGGACGCGAGCATCGCGAGCGCGCACGGGAGCATCCCACCCACCACCATCCTGTTGAGGGGATGGGATGCGACCACGCTATTTCTCGGCAGCAGTTTCTCTAGATCTATCCCTCTCTCTCTCTCTCTTTATTTCCCTCACTCTTTGCTTCCCTTCCCCCCTCTCTCAGACTCTCTCTCTTTCCACACACACCCCTTTGGTGGGGGAACAAACAAGCCCCGATGCCGCTGGTCCCCGGACCTCTCCTGGGGTGCGCTCTGACCTAGATGAATCACGGCCTGAGCCCCAGACCCCATCTTTCTGCTGCACCTCTCGGGCCGCATCGATGTGATGGTCGCGGGGCCCGAAGGTGGGCGAGATCGCCCAGATCTGAGGGTCTCCTACCTCTACCCCACTAGGGAGCCCACACAGAACGATGCGCCCGACCCCATGCATGAATACGGCCCCCCCGTCCGCGAGACCAGCCTCGCGACACGAACGTTCGCGCAATGCGTACTTTCGAAACCAGCGTGGGTTCATGTACGTGTACGTCCTTCGATCGCTCCTGACTCATCTTTCTCCCCCCCCCCCGCCCGTGCTAGGAGGACACGAAGCCAGGACGAGGGTAAAATCGGGTGAGGGTAAATCGGGAATCTCTGAGATCCGCGGCTCTGAAGGATGTCTCGGGCGCCGCGGCCTTCTCAGAGCGTTCCGCAACGCTCTGAGAGCGTTCCGGAGCGCTCTGGAACGGACTTATCCTCGCCCTGGCTTCAGTCGGGCATGTCCCCCCTGCAGGGGGACTTTGAGCTAAGAGTGAGAAACATTCAAAACATACCCTCCAAAAGGGCAAATATAACCCAAAAATCGTCCCCAGACTGTTCTTGTTGCTATCTCTTCGAGTCTTCCTCCTGCAGAGGGCCAGGCCCGACTGCAGCCCCGGCCCCGCCCGACGTGCCCCCTCCGCTCGCCCTCGCTCGGACGCCCATCCCCCGTGTTTTTTTGTCGGTTTCGTGCGCGTTTTTTTTCGCCAAAGGATCCAGGATGCTCCTCGAGGGGCCTCGCCGAAGGAAACAGGCACACGCGTCCGAGCGATGCCGAGTCCGCGCGCCCGGCCCGCGGACCGAGGCGCAGATGAACCACGTGGTGCTCGGCGAGCCCCGCAGCACGCCCCCCAGCGCCTCGGCCGAGGAGCTCCGCCGCAGCACCCTGCCTGGGGCCCGCCCCCGCCCCCCGCGCGCGCTCCCCTGGCCGCGCGGCTCCCGCCCCTCGGGTCGGGCGAAAGTGAAGGGGAACTGGAACACACAAATAAATACACACAAATAAAGATATCCCCCATATTTTCCCATATTTTCTGGGTTTTTGTCTTCCCCCCCACTTCCCATATTTTCTCATATTTTTGGGGAATCGAGGATTAATTGTGTCTGTGTGTTTCCTTTCCTCCTGACTCGGGTCGGGCGAAAGGGGGGGATAGCAAAGGGGGGGATTGAGAATCAGCGCACGTAGCTGATTCTCCTGGCGCCTCCCGGCGCCAGGAGGCGCCCATGTGTCGAGGAGTGGGCCCGGCGGCGGGGCCGAAACCAGCTGCATGCCGCAAGTTTCGTAACCCCCCCTTTCCCAATCCCCCCCTTTCATTCGGCCCGAGCCCCGCGGGGCAGCGTGCCGGGGGGGGGGGCCGGCCGGGACGGGGGGGGGGGGGAACGTCGACCTGGAATCGGCGATGGAGCGCCGAGGGATCGGCGAGACAGCCAACCCCCCGCAGCAGGAGGGCGCACGGTGATCGGGGAGGCGTGGGACTCGGGCTGGGGGGGACTCGGGTTGGCCTGACGGGGCCAATCCTGAAAATGACGAGACCTGGTCTGAAATGTGATGCGAACTCTCGCCGCAGACATCCCACGCAAACTGGGCCGTCGAAATTCCAGGGCGCGCTCGTCAACAAGCGTCGGCAAGCCCGAGCTCCGGCGCCCTCGAGCCTTGCGTTTTTTTTTTCCGAGAGAAGGCTGCCAGGGGCCTTGGAAGGCCATGCAGACACCTCGCGAGCGGCGCGCGGCCGGCGGAAGCGGCCAAGGATGGACCGACGGAGGATGCAAGGGGTAACCCAGATTTCGTACTAAAAGGGAGGGGGTCTCAACCCTCCCAGACGAGAAGTTTTAGACCCCCCCCGTGGGAGAACCCTCCAAAACATCGTCCCCAGACCCCCCCAGGCCCTCCAAGATGGCCTGGAAGAGACCCCCCCCGAAACGAGACCCCCCTCCCTTTTATTACGAACCTTGGGGTAGCCCTGGAAAGCCGCTCCTCCTTCCTGTGCGGGTGGACGGTAGGCCCCGGAGGGCGAGGCCGCGCGCTCCTGGGCGGGGGTGGGGGGGGGCAGGGTGCGGCTGCCGGGCCCCCGTCGGCGAGGGATGGACGCTTGGGGGTCGATGCATCTCCCACGGAGCCTTTTTCCCTCCCTAACGCCGCCCCCAGATTTTCAGAAAATCTGGGGGCGGCGTTAGGCCAGAAATATGGCCAGAAACGCGGAGCCGCAGTGTGGCCAGAAATTCTGGCCACGCTTCGGCTCCGCGGCAGCGGTTCGGGACGATGCGGCACCCCCAGAGCGCCGTCAGCGAGGCGCAGCTGCTGGAAAAAGCACGCCGAGGCTGGACAAAACCCTGGGATGCGACGAAAGCGTCCGAGAACCATCGAAACGTGCCCCCCCCCTCCTGAACCCATCCTGGAGGACTCCCAGGTGGGGTATGAGTACGTAGGTGGGGTCGGTGAGCCGCGCCGCATCCCTGATGTATCGCCGCTGCGCTGGCGATGCACTGGCGACGTCGGCGATGCATCAACGACTCCGGGGTGGAAAACTCATCGGGCTCCACGTCGCGCCACGTCGCCGATGCATCGGCGACCCTCCAACCCTATCTACGTCGACCCCGTCTGGGAGGCCTAGATTTGAGCAGGGACCGGCCGTCCTGGCATTCGGATTGGCATACCGCGAGATGCTCTCAGAATGAGTGAAGGCTCCAATCACGAGAATGCTGTGATTCGAACATAAATGGATCGATTAAAATGAGAATGCCTCAGCCATGCGCGTGTTCTGGGAAGAGTTCGTGCAAATCCACACAGGTCCGTAGCTCCAGATTCAGGAGCGTTCGGACAGCCGCGCCGAATCAGAGAGCACGCAAGGCATTCAGCAATCATAGCTACACTCTGGCTCAACGTTCATCGCAGAACAACGGAAGAGGGAAGAGAGAAGGAGACAGAGGCGGGAGCAAGGAGGAGAGGGAAGGCAACGACAAGGAGGACGATTACGGGGCTTGTGTGGACGCGCGAGGTGTCAAGAGTTAATCCTATCAGCCCCCTGGGCGTAGGTGCTTTAACGAACTTACCCCCTCCCCTTGGCCTGGGAAGGGGGGGGACCGCGAGTAGTTAGAGCGCCCAAGATGGCCCAAGATGGCTCCAACAGGGCCTCAGAGACCCCAAGATGGCCTTCAAGTTGGCTCAAGAAAGCTCACGATCGCCTCCGACATACCTCCAAGAGGCCCCAAGACTATACCAGCCAAAAAAAAAACCCAACCGCAGAACATCAGTCAAAAACCAAAAGAAAATCTATGTGTGTTGCCTTCTCGCCTGTTCGCTTCGGGTGGGCTTTGTGGCCTGAAGATGGCCCCGAGACGGCGCAGAACAGCCCCAAGGGGGGCACAGGAGGGCCCCAAGAGAGCCCAAGAGCGCCCCAGGAGGGCTCCAAGACCCCCTCGTTGAGCCTCCGAGGGGGAAGGGGGGGGGGGGCCTGAATTGAGAACACCTCCATGTTGGAAACATGGGGCTCAAAATCAGCCCTAGAGGCCTCCAAGACACCCACTCTGCAGGGTCTTTGCGGGGTCCCCCCCCCCCCTGCAAAGACCCTGCAAAGAGGGGGCCCTTTTTTTCTTCTGCTGGTTACGGAGCCTTGGGCCCCCCTTGAGAAAAGGGAGGTCCTACAATCCCCTGATTTGGGCAGCTCGCCTGGCAATCCCTCCGACCTGCCCTGGAAGCAGCACGAAACAAGTGCCCGATAATCCTTCAGGCTGAAGAGGAGTTCAAGATACCTCCAAAAACATGATCGCGGAAGACCAAGTAAAGCCAGGGCAGAAGGGGAAGGGGCGGAGGAGGGGGAGGAGGCGGAGGAGGAGGAGGAGGAGGAGGAGGAGGAGGAGGAGGAGGAGGAGGAGGAGGAGGAGGAGGAGGAGGAGAGGAGGAGGAGGAGGAGGAGAGGAGGAGGAGGAGGAGGAGGAGGAGGAGGAGGAGGAGGAGGAGGAGGAGGAGGAGGAGGAGGAGGAGGAGGAGGAGGGGGGAGGAGGAGGAGGAGGGGGGGAGGAGGAGGGGAGGAGGAGGAGGGGACAGCAAATCTTCCCACCGTTCCTGCGCCCCTCGCCCGCTTCCACGGCGGCCCGCTCCCCCTGCATGCTTATACGTTGGCCACATTCTAGCACCTCCCCTACGGCAGGTTCGTGTCGTGCCGACCCCGGCGTTGGTTTTTGACACCGCAGGGATCGTTCAACCTTGAACGATCGGCCGCTGCCGCAACGTCCGATCGTTCAACATCGATCGATTCTGGGTCGCCGGCGGCGTTCAACCTTGAACGCCCGCGCTGGGGTCGCCGCTGGTCGACACGACGCAAACCTACCGTAACAAAAATCGGCCAGAGTCAACACAGCACGACACCTCGTCACCTGACAATGTCATGCTATTCTTGAACCGTCCTCCTGTAGAAGGACACGTCCAACGTAAAGACGACTGCACTCATAAAACAAGGATCCCGGCAAAGCAGCCTAACAGCGATGTGTATAAGCATATCTGGAAGCATTCCCCTTAAGATTCAGGTGAGAATCCAGTTGTAGAATTCTGCTGTTCTCGCAGTCGCAGTCGCATTCGCAATGACAGTCGCAGTGGCAACGGCCTTAGGATCCAATGGAATCCTAAGGATTCCTAGGGATTCCTAAGGCATCCTTAGGCATCCTTAGGAATCCATAGGAATCCTTCGGAAACCTGATTCCTAGGGATTCCTAGGGATTCCTAAGGATTCCTGGGGAATTCCAAGGATTCCAAAGGATTCGCCTGCCTCGGCCTCAGCCTCAGCCTGCCTCAGCCTCAGCCTGCCTCAGCCTCAGCCTCAGCCTGTCTCAGCCTCAGCCTGCCTCAGCATCAGCCTCAGCCTCAGCCTCAGCCTGCCTGCCTCGGCCGCAGCCTCAGCCTCAGCCTGCCTCAGCCTCAGCCTCAGCCTGCATCAGCCTCAGCCTCAGCCTGCCTCAGCCGCAGCTTGCCTCAGCCTCAGCCACAGCCTGCCTCAGCCTCAGCCTGCCTCAGCCTCAGCCTCAGCCTGCCTCGGCCTCAGCCTCAGCCTCAGCCTCAGCCTGCCTCGGCCTCAGCCTGCCTCGGCCTCAGCCTGCCTCGGCCGCAGCCTCAGCCTCAGCCTGCCTCAGCCGCAGCCTCAGCCTGCCTCGGCCTCAGCCTGCGTCAGCCTCAGCCTCAGCCTGACTCAGCCTCAGCCTGCCTCAGCCTCAGCCACAGCCACAGCCTCAGCCTGCCTCAGCTTCAGCCACAGCCTCAGCCTGCCTCGGCTTGCCTCAGCCTCAGCCTCAGCCTGCCTCAGCCTCAGCCTCAGCCTGCATCAGCCTCAGCCTCAGCCTCAGCCTGCCTCAGCCTCAGTCTCAGCCTGCCTCAGCCTCAGCCTGCCTCAGCCGCAGCCTCAGCCTGCCTCGGCCTCAGCCTGCGTCAGCCTCAGCCTCAGCCTGCCTCAGCCTCAGCCTGCCTCAGCCTCAGCCTCAGCCTGCCTCGTCGTGCCTCAGCCTCAGCCTCAGCCTGCCTCGGCCTCAGCCTGCCTCGGCCTCAACCTGCCTCAGCTCGGGCATTCAAAATATGACACAACACTGGTGTTCTGGGAACACGAAGAACACGAAGTGGCCTACAGTTGGCTCGGGGCATTCAAAATGTGGCCTGAGAATGGTGTTCTGGGAACACGAAGAACACGAAGTGGCCTACAGTCGGCTCTGGGCATTCAAAATGTGGCCTGAGAAAGGTGTTCTGGGAACACGAAGAACACGAAGTGGTCTACAGTTGGCTCCGGGCATTCAAAATGTGGCCTGAGAAAGGTGTTCTGGGAACACGAAGAACACGAAGTGGCCTACAGTCGGCTCCGGGCATTCAAAATGTGGCCTGGGAATGGTTTTCTGGGAACACGAAGAACACGAAGCGGCCTACAGTTGGCTCCGGGCATTCAAAATGTGCCCTGGGAATGATGTTCTGGGAATGGATTCCTAAGGATTCCTAAGAATTCCTAAGAATTCCTAAGGATTCCTGGGGCTGCCGGTTTTGTCCGGTTTTGCCCGGATCCCGCCCAGACCCCCTGGGGCGTCAAGATGTGCTCTCTTTTGACCCCACTAGAAGCCTATCAGTCTTCGCTGTTAGGTAATTATGTCTGGGCGAGCTCTAGCAATCTAGCCGCCGGAAAAATGCCTCCGACCACCCACGGGGCTGCCAGAAACGACACATGTGACATGGTGCAACCGCTGCACGGTGACCCCAAGACCAAATCATGGCTTCATGACTCTCGGCGTAGAACTAGGTCGGGCGTGTCCTCCTACAGGTCCTACATGCGGATTTTGGAAGAAAAATGTGAACTAGTCGGAAATCCGGTTTGTAGTCAAAGGAGCACGACAAATCGTCACCAAGCTATTCTCAACTGTTCTTGAATATCCCTCCTGTAGAAGTATACGCCGGGCTTAAGCGTAGAGGGTGAGCACCCGCTCCCAAGATGGATTGGTGCTCCTCAGCCAGTCTTGGGAAGCACCTCCTGGTAGGTACCCGCACGAACGACTAAGAGCTACTAACACCGATTGGGGGCCATTGAGCTGCATGCAGCTGGATTGAGCTCAGGATTGAGCTCGACTGCACCAAATTAGACGAAACTTAAAAAACGCCGAACCAAGCCCCGTTTCGCCCACGGATATACCAGCATAGATGCTGACTGCAATCTTCCAGGACTTGCATCCTTGCCAGCTGGCTGCCAGGACTAGCAAACACGCGCCACGGCGTGGAGGGCGGCGCGCTGGGCCTGGGGGCGGCACTTGCCTTGAAGGGGAGGGGGAGGAGGAGGAGGAGGAGGAGGAGGAGGAGGAGGAGGAGGAGGAGGAGGAGGAGGAGGAGGGGGAGGAGGAGGAGGAGGAGGAGGAGGAGGAGGAGGAGGAGGAGGGGGAGGAGGAGGCCTCTCCCTCGGACCCCTCGAGGGCGACAGCGAGGGCAAGGCCGTCGAGGGGGGGGGGCCGCCGCGTGTGGGACGTGCGGCGGCATGCGCTGGGCGCTCGGGGCCCTCGGCCAGCGGCCGCACACGCTCGCAGGAGAGCGGATGTCAGAGGTCTACTCGATGGCACACTTCTGGTGGAGTTCGGAGGCACCTCGGGGAGGTCTCCGCAGGAACAGTTCAAGGCTAGTCAACCTGCTTGAGGGGCCGCTCAGCTGGAGCAGCCCAGGCTAAGCCCAGGGAAAAGCCGAGGAGCAAGCCAGATTCGGCGGGACTACGTCAGATTGCGCGTGATTATGGTGGAATAGACGGCGTTCGCCCACGGATGGGCCAGCGCCGATGCTGAAGTGAACATCCCAGGAGTTGCACCCAAATGTTGTGTGTCCATATTCGGCCATCGACTGCGCTGACCGCAAGGGATCGTGGGACCCTCTGAGGCTCCCCTGAAGGACCACACACTCTGCAGCGTCGTCTTTGACCTGAGCTGGGTAAAAGCCTGTCCTTTGTGTCACGTGGTGCCCGATCTGTGTGCCGAACACACCTCGCAACCTGCCGCTGGTTGACAGCTGCGTGAACAGACCGTGCCACGAAGCGACGCGCGCCACGCCAGCACGTGGTCCGCATTATCTCAATCAGAAGCCCTGCACTGTCTCGGCGACGTCCGAGTCATCAGCACGCGCCGGTGGACGAAGCACACCACACGTTCCCGCTGTTCTGAGTCACACATTAAGAGGTGCCCCCCCGAACGGAGACCGCAAGCAATGTGCCAGTCGGCACTTGCTTGCCCTGGAACTCCGGCACAACGCTGGAGCCAAGTTCACGCTCTCGCCAGAGTGGCATGGGAGACGTCGGAGCAAAGCTACAGAAAAGCGGCCCTGCCCCCTTGCATCAAGAGGACAACCCCTTGCCCGCAAATGTGTCAACTATTGGACTATTGGCCACGAGGATATGAGGACACGAAATGACGGCGTATTCTCGCGTGACTGCAATTGCGCCCCCTCCCACCGCGGTGACGCTTCTCGGAGAGGTACTCGGGTAGCTGCCATGCTGCAAAGAACACCCCACCTCGGACTGACACGTTCATGAGGAAGGAGGTGACCAAGGAGCCAAGGATGCGCATGGAAACTAGCACCGCATTGGGCTACGATGAATGACCCTGAAAAGACGAGAACTGGAACCCATTTGACGAATGTGTGCAAGCGAACACAATCGTGAACAACACAAACAGCGAAACACATGCGGTACCGTCAGTGCGCATTCGGGTCTGGGGACCTCCTGTAAGAAAGGAGATCGGGGGCAGAGGAGGGAGGCGGGAGGAGGGAGGCGGGAGGAAGAAGCAGAGAGAGGAGGTGGAAGAAGAAACAAAAAACGAGGAGGAAGATGAGCTCAAACACCAGAGTTCCGCTGAAGTGTGTCTCAACACGCACGCTCGCAAAGCCGTAGTTGACCCAAACACAAACACAGGCACACAAACACATACACACACACACACACACAAACACAAACACACACACACACACACACACACTCTGGCGGCGCGGCCACGCGCGCAGCGATTCGGCGGAGTCAGGCGGACGTCGTCTGAATGCTGGCGCTCTCGCCTTTCCTGCCTTCCGACGCCCCAGGACAGCCCAACGTGGCCCCCACGACCACTCCAAAACGGCCAACGAGACCCCCGAGATGGCCCCGGGACGGCCTAAAATTGCCCCAAGGCGGCCCAACGGGCACTCGCGCCCCAAAAACTACAATCCCCCAGTAGATTACACGATGGTCGCATGCCGAAGCAACGAGTGTCAGCAAGTTAGTAGTGCGAAGCGCCAGAATTCGAGAGATGTGTTGCAATT